AGTGGTGGATATAAAGCTCTCGAGGGCGACACAGGTGCAGAACTCTCTCCTTCACGTGTCTTCTTGGCTGCTGACTGTTCTTCTCCCAGTTCGGCATGTTCCAGAGTTCTCTTCTTGAGCTCATCTTTTTTCACCCACAGCGTCCTTTCTCGTAGGTCGCCTAGTGTAGGCCTTGCAGACACTTCGTCTGGAGGCTCTGTGGCCTCGGCCATGCTCGTGCCTAGGCACCAAAAGCAGCACAGCTGATTGCACCCGGTGTATCACCCAAAAGCGATGCAATCAAGCGGCAAAACTCTGCAGAAAGCGACAGAAACTAGAAAAGTATGTAGAGGATGTCGTTGAGGACATCGTGACGAGGCTCAAGCACACAGCGCTTCTGTTGAGGCTGTAAGCTGAAAAGACCAAAGTAACTGTTCAAAGCTGTTCAAGTTGCAAGTGCCACACTGTACAGACACGACACTCTAGAAGTCACCACTCCGAACGAAAAGAGAGGAAGAGACCCCAGCCCCAACCCCACGAGAGGCCAGTGACCACTTCACAAACCACAACACGCACTCAGCTGCAGCTGCACAGCCGCTCAGCTCACTTGGCTCACTCCGTCCTCACTCCGCTCACTGGTCGTAGAGCTGCGCTTCCTCCCGCAAACGAAGAGCCAGCAGAGCAAAGTGGAGCAAAGCCAACGTGTTTGAGAAAAGCCGTTTCACCATCACTTAAAGACCCGACCGTCTTGATGTTGAAAACCGCCAGAACCACACGCTCACCCGCCATGGCAGTGTGCCATGTAGTTCGCCCGAGTCAAATTCCAGAAACGGCGGGGCCACGGAGTAGGCTTTGCCAAGCAAGTCAGTGCCGGGATAAACCACAGTCCCCGCAGCATCCTGGCACCACAATTCACCCCCTGTCCAGCAGCTGAGAGGAATCAGTTTGCTACGGCAGTGCGGGTGAGCAGTGTTGTTCTTGCCATCGCGATGCAAACCCGAGGAGACATTCACCAGCAGCGTAATGGAGGTGAAGTGGTAATCAATCCCATTGCCCAGTATTGAATGCACCAATTCACCAATCGGCAAAGAAAAGCCGTGACCCATGGAAAATTGTAAGCATTGCTACGGATGCCCACCAATCCGCCAACCTGGAAAGCACCTGTAGTGAAGGTGAAGGCCGTCTCAGCAGCATGCGCAGCAGACTGATGTGGACGTGGAGTGTCGCCTGGAAGATGTGCCCACAACATCGGAAGTTGATCTTCATAGTATGCGCCCTGGCCTGGTAGCTCCCGAGCTATGCACTCCGCTGTCTGTGAAAGTCGTGGCTCAATCAGCTGCACGTCGGATTTACCAAGGTACCACCTGACGCGCGGCCTTGGAGGATTATGTTGTTCATCATCCGGATGATATTCCACTGTGTGCACTGAAGAGACAGACACGTCATCAGGAAATGCATCAGAAGCCATCTCTGTGTCCGGCACTGTAGGTGTGCAGGGATCCGGTGAGTCCTGCCATCCATGGTAATAGAGATTCACATCGAAGACCCCCTCCACGAACCACGGTGCATGCAGCTGTAGGCTTGGCGTGGAGTCTGACATATGGGTGCAAACGAAGCCAAAGTATAAGCGTGAAGCACTGGAAAAGAAGCCGTAAGAAAGATTATGGTGTGGTAGAAAGCGCCGTCAAGCAATCGTGCAACATAGAACAGTCCGTCTGTAAAAGAACATGTGCGAATGCGGGCATGAAATGAATGAAAACATTGGGCACTGGCGGCGCACATGGGTTGCACAACTGTACTGTACTGGAACATCGCAACCAGAGTGCACACTGCCCAAAGGAACAAGAAGTGCTGGCTCCACTGATTTTGCACTGAGAGCCGTCCCGAACATCATAAGAAGTAATCCCCATCGCTGTCACTCATCATCGTCTTGAGTGACCTGTCCGTGCATGGGGTAGCCCCCAAAATAAAGTGAAAGTACTCCAGGCCCACTAGGGGCCCGACGCATGAGCCCGCCTGCACAAAAGAAGATAAACACTGTCTGAAGTATGTGATGTGGTCTCCGAGCTCACAGCCTGATATCTGGGAACAGTGTTGTCGTCGCACCAGATATCGCCCCCATTCGCATGTAACACGGACGTGTAGTGCCCCTCACACAGGGTGGATCCGTGATGTAGAATGGCAGCGATAACCTCGTAAGCGACCGTGCCTGTTGAGAGATCATCGACCCCCCTGAACAGCGGCATGTGCACCGTGTGTGGCCAAGTGATATGACTGTCAATCTTGACGAGGTTTGTGCCTGCCTGTACATACCGAGAAAAACGCAGCAGCAGAAGAGCTGGTGCGACCTGCAAGGCATATGGGTGGGCTTGAGAATGCCAAAGATTTAGAAGACGCTGGGTGTCATGCTCACGTCCCGCTGGAATATCAATCGAGATGGCCTGTGCACAATGTCCGGTTTCCGGGCGAACACATCGGAATTGTCCTGACCCGGATTCCTCTAAGCGACGGGCTTCCCAGGTGCCCTCAAAAGCCGAGGCTCCTAATCGAGCTATGACATGTTGATAAAACTCTGCGCAATCATGTTGTTGTGAGGGCGACCTCCATCCCCGAAGAGCAAACACTGGCTTGTCGTTATGTCTGAAGAGCTGCTTGAGAAACTTAAGCCCAGCACTGCCAAAGGAGTCATCAAGACCCGGATCCATCGCAAGCGCCCATGTCAATGTCCTGATCACCGTGTTCAAGTAGCAGTAATTGGACGGGTTGCGGAGTACCAGCGTCCTCATCGAAGCAACTCTGCCAGCTTCTGCACTGCCGGCGATCTCCGAAAGCCCTCCTTGCGCAGCTGAAGGCCGCACAACTGCATGGACGCCTGGCCTTGCATCGTGTCCAGGAGCTCGTAGAAGCGATGTGCCACCGGCTTGCGGAATGTCACATCCAACTGAAACACTATCATGTGTCCCTGCATGTGTTCCGTCATGGGACGATTGGAGAAGAATGCTGAGATGACCTCCGACGTCGCCAGCTGCTTCAGCTCCCCGAGTACCTTCAAAAGGTGCTCCGAAGTGATGGGCTCCCGAGTGCTGTCCACCTCCAGGCTGTGCTTCTCGTGCGACCACACCTGATACACCCAAGTCCCGGCACTGCTCAGCCAGCCCGACTCCACTGCTGTCCCCCTCTGCTCCTGAGTCAGGTCGCGAAGGGCAACCGTCAGCTGCTCTATCATGTTCCAGAAGAGAATCGCCCGGAGACTGACATGAGCGAACGGACACTCTGGTTTGACAATCTCGGTCTTCCACTTCTGCGAGGTCTGAAGCATGCCCGGCACTATGGAGGGAGTCGCCGTGCGGGCAAACAGTATCCAGGCCGTACTTTGTTTGAGAATCTTCAACTGATCTTCGTGGCGAATGACGATCTGTGACAGGAGTCGAAGCAGGTCCTCCATCTCCGTGTCCTCCCGACTGGAAGAACCGAAGGAGCGGTTGTTTTGTTGTGTCCACGTCTTGCCCCCTTTTCCCCGCCCCCCTTTGCGGCCGTTGTTGAGCTTGCCTGCTTTCTGCAGGCGGCTGTCCGACCCGTTCCATGCCGCTTGAGCGTCCTGTCCCCTCTTGCCGCTCACCAGGGGTCCGAACGTTTGTTGAAGTGCCTCCTCCGCTTGCATGGTCGTCATGAGCGCCGCCGTTGGATCCGCTGTTGTCAATGTCCGCACCAATTGTGGGACGAAGACTCAACACACGCGCAAGTGCAGTTTGTGTGACAGCATGACAAGTGGCGGCATGTCTGCTACGCTTTTGATGAGTCGATTGACAGAACTGACAAAGGCTCTGCAGACCCGATGTCCAAGCAGCACAAAGACTATCTACCTGTGGCTGAGCCTGTCGCCAGAGTTCAGGATGTTTGTGCGCGAGGTGCTTGCGTAGTCCGCGGACAGTGCAAGCAGCATGACAAATCTGACACTTCATCTCCCACTTTTGCAGTGAGTCTGCTGCCGGCAATGATAGGTCGAGCTCGTCACCAAGGTGCTCGCCAGACTCCTCAGTCGTTGCTGTGGTGATAGCACGAATCATGCTAAGTTGGAAGAGCACCGGGCACGTATCCCTGTGATCAGAAGTAGCCGTCGTAGGAACCTGACCAAGACACCAAGAGCATTGATGTTTGATGGGATCAATGGTCAGCCTGCGCCACTGTATGTTGCGGGCCTGGAACTGTTGGGATTCAGTCTTATGGACTCTGGTCCAGTGCAGCTTGACATACTTGGCGTTGGGCATCCACTGCCTGCAGCTGGCGCAGTGAGAGAGCAGTTCCTGTCGTAGTTCCGTCGTCAGCATGGCTGGTGCGAGCTCACTGACTGAAAGAGTGCCCTCCTGAGCCATTTGCAAAATAGATGGCTTCTCCTCGTTGGCCGCAGGGGCCAATGGTGGACCACCTTGACAATGATTCTCAACTATATGTTTCTGGAGATCAGCCCATCGCTCAAAGGGGTGCCCACAGCCTCGACAACGTGGCATTCCGTCTGTTCCATGTAGCTGCCTGCAGAAGACTGTCGGCTCCGCCTGCGCTCGTTGTTCACTGTGCATTCTGGCCTTGTGGTGCCGAAGCGCTGCATCATTGTCGAAAACTTGGTGGCAAATGTCACACGTAAGCCGTTCCTGCGCACATTCCCCCGTAGGTTTGCCCTGAGCAAACTGGCGAAAGGCTTCAAGCAACTGACGTTCCCGGCAAGTTATGTCCTCCGTGAGCCGCATATCCAGCGGGTCCAGGTGATGCCGTAGCGCCTCCGAGGCCTTGACCATCCTGGTGTTGACCTGCAGTAGCATTTCGTAAATCGATGGGAGCTGCAGACGTTGCGTGAGATGAAGATCGCTCTCCTCCGTGAGATGCCGCGGACTGCGGGCGATGGCCCGTACTTGCCTCATCAACATGACCCTTATCAGATCAAAGGACTTCCTAGTATAGCCCGAAGATGACAAAGAGTACAGAGTCGAAGGCAGCACCACCGTTCTCCACAGATGCAGTCGACGCCTGAGTGGCAGCGCTCGGTGTGACATCAGGGTGGATCTCATTCTGATAAACGCCGCCTGTCCTGCATGTCGACGATGCACTGCATTTTGATGCTCGAAGGCTCCGTAAGAAATGACCGCCCCTAGGTAGACGTGACTGTTCTTAAGTGGAAGCGTCCATCGAGAATCAAGGATCAGGAGTTTGCCTGGTGGCTTGAGACGCTGGCGCACAATTTTGCGAAGTGCATGTTGAGCCTGAACTCCTTCGGCCTTGAGCAGGCAGATGGTCTTATCGTGGCTCAACTGAAAACCGAGGTCCTCGAGGATGCTGAGCGCTTTTCCCGCCTCACACAAAGATCGCTGAAGCCCATCCCGATCCCGGAATTCCCAGCGCGTGTGAATGTCATCAGCAAAGCCCAGGAGGTGGTCAAAGCACCACTGCGCTCCCAACTGTCTATCAAGGCTGTGCAGAACAAAGACCGAAATGCAACACCAAAGAGTCGGTGACAACTTGCATCCTTGTCGGATACCTGAACTTGAGGGATAGCTCTCCGAGGCGTCAGCCTTGTTGATGTGGAAGACGGTTTGTTGTGTCCACCTGAGGATGACATCAGTGTGTGCATCGGGCACCTCTAGAAATCTCAAGGCATTGACCAATAGTTGTCGATCCGCCCTGTCAAATGCTTGGGAGAAGTCCACGCTGACCTGCAAGCCCCCTGCACAGGATGCCCTTGTCTGACCTGCACGAAGAGCATACCACGATCTACGTTGTGCTTTGGCGGCTGCCCAGACTCGATCACAATGCGCGTACACAATGGAGAGTGCCTGCTGCGGGGAGCGATTGGCCAAGTACCCGAAGAGTGGCAGCCTCTCGGTAGCTTTAAGAAGAAACGGTTCCAGGTGCCTCTTCAGGACTCCGCTAACTGCCTTGCCCATCGGATCAAGCAATGCTATTGGCCGCAACGAGGCAGGATCATCGTTGGCCTTGCCCACTTTGTTGATGAAGACTAGCCATGCCGCTGACCAATCCTGGGGAATCTGAGCCTGGCACTCTCTCCACTCTGCAAAGACCCTGTGTTCCATGAAGTCGGCAATGGGTTGTGAGGCTAGCCTCCAGAACGCATGAGGTGCACAATGGGGTGGAGCCACCTTGGAGATCCGAAGCTCTCGCAGGGCCTTCTCAATATCCTCGCGCAGGATGTGATAGCTGCAAGCCTCCCCAGTCCGAAGCAGAGTCCCCGGGGCACCGTTGACCGATTTCCAGAACTCCCGCAACTCCCTAGCCTCCTCAGCCGGAGTCAGCAGTTTGCCATCCCTGGCACGTAACTGAGCACGCTTTCGAAGCTGTTTGGGAGCCACTCGGCGAACCATCTCGAAGAGCGCCTGGCTGCATCCTGATTCGACATGTGCATCCGCTTCCTGCAACAGCTGGGCCAACCTGACACGTCGGAGCTTTCGGGAATGCTTCTGCACCTGCCTATGCATGCGAAGGAACTGTGTTCGATGTTGCCATGCCTGTATCGTCAACCGCAGACGTCCAGTGTTTGATGTGGCCGCTTCCGAAAACAGCCTACGCATATTGCGATAGTGCGACCACATGTCCTTGATGCTCCCTACATGCTCAGCACCGGTCCATGGCGGTGGAAGACTGTGCGGACGTTGCACATGAAAGACACGCCGACCCACCTCCAATAAAAGCTTGTCAAACTCCTTGGGCTGGTACTCCGTCACTGCTTGAAGAGATTCTCTTACCTGACATTCGAACTCCGCGGCCAAATGAGGATGATCCTTGATGGCCTGAGACAGCAGCTGACATTTCCACCTAGGCCATTCACTCTTAGTGGTCTTCTGTTGAGCTCGGAACTTGCGCACTGAAATTTGGAGCCATCCGGGTAGATGCCGTCCCCCCGCCCTCCAGCGAGCAACCTGCCAGTCTCGGAGATGCCCAGCTTTGCAGAGCTGATGCTTGTTCTGTCTCACAAACAAGTAGTCAATGAAGGTGCGGCGCGCCGGCTTGAATCCCTCGTGTATGTAGGTGAAGCTGTTCTTCCTGCCAAAGGTGTTTGCGGCTAGCAAGGAGAAATCGCGCACAATGTCCACTAGGTCGTCTGTGTCCGCCTGAGTCTTTTTGGACGGCAGCATGCCCGTGCCTATGTGATGTTTCAGCGGTACAAGTACACAATTGAAGTCACCTGCAGTAATGAGCGTGCTGCTTTGCGGTATGTGGCCTAGTGTACGCCTCAATGTGGTCCATACTGATGCCCTCTTCCGCAGCAACTCCGCCTGTTCAGTGGGCTTCTCAAAGCCCCCGAGAGCATGCTGGTAAACATTCACCGTGTCAACCCAGCCACCTGCGCACCATGCCCGAACATGTAGTAGACGCCCTTCCACATGATCATGAAATCTGATATACTCTTGAGGAAAAACCGATGCACGCAGAAGTGTCATAACGCCTGCATGAGCTCTCTTTGCTTCCGTGCCGATGCCAGAGCCGATGCAGTGGAAACCACGAGTCTCGTAGTCTAGCTGTTGCCTGTGCCATGTTTCTTGCAGAAAAACAATGTCATAGGAGTGCTCTTCCAACCAGGTAAACAACTCGTCCTTTACGGTGCTGAGCCCTGCGCAATTCCAGGATAAACACGAGAGCGAAAATTGTGAGGATGCGCTGGTGCTTCCTTCCACTCTGGTCCTGCTTGCGGGGCCGCTCCGCTGTGCGACGCCACTCTGATACTGTCCCAAAAGAGCCTGCAAGTCACAAGTCTGTCCTCGATACTGTGTTTGGCCATGCTTCTGTGCCCTGAACACAGCACGCTTAAAAGCCCGCTTTCTGCAAAAGGAAAAAGGTAACTGCATCCCCGCTCTCAGAGACTCTGCGTTGTCTCCAACCCTCGCTTCTGTCGAAAACATGAAAAGAACGGTCCTCCTCACACTCGACCTCCGGAATTGGGACCGGAGCGGCCATGTCATAGCCAATGTTGTCCGCTGCTATTGCTGTAGAATCACGCTCCATGTGTAAGCTGTTGACATGAAAATCGGCCATGAAATAATCGTGTAAAAGAAAACCAAGCAGAATCCACCTGTAAAACATGCGTGACTTAAGAGTCAGAGGCACCGACGTCAGCTGAAAAACCATGCGCCCCCGCACTGCCTACAGCTACGCGCGTCCGCCCTCCCAGACTAGCAGCAAACGGCTCGGGCCGAGAAGCTTCTTGAACTCATCCAGTGTCATATCGTCAGGTACAAGTTCTTTTTGTCCACTCATTCCACCTGATCTGC